TTTTATGAAATATGGGTTGGATTTGAAGTGATTTTGCAGTCGTGGGAGCATATTGAGCCGAACCACATGAACCAATTTCTCACAATTATAAACGTTCAAATCTTTCAGTCGGCAGGACTTTGATTCGTTTTCTGGGGCTATGAGTAATCGCCTCTCCCATATCTCTATTATGTTAGGCAATTTCAAAATTTTCAAATTCTCCAAGACGGGGAAAGCAACCTGTAAAGTAATTTACAACACTTGTAGTTAGTGACTGTTACAAAATTGTGGATATGCAACAATTGATAATTGTAACAGTTTCCAAATGCGTGCTCTGATCATGCATGTGTGGAAATGAAAAGCTATAGCCAAGCAAATTTTTAATTGCATATCTCCATATTCTTTTCCAATATTTATTATATTGCTTAATTATTAACTATGCACCTTTTTGTTATGACCTCTTCACATTGTTTTCCATCATTCATCATTATTTTTCTATTTGCCTTAAATAATTTGTGTTCCTTAATCTTATTTGTCATTTTTTTGATAAGGCAAATTATACTGTAGATCTGAGTATTAGACCTAGGAAAATGAAGAAAATTTTATTTTAAAAATGCACCACGGTGCCTTGATAATTTTTTATATTGATAGTTTCTTATTTAATTTAATATTCATTTTCTTGGCATATCTATTTAAGTTAAGATGGTAAAACAAATCAAATTATTTTAACTCGAAATATGATATCCAGTATGATATCCAATATTTAAATATTTTTTTAAGGAACCCCAAACCAAGGTTAGGAAAATTACAATTTTGGACATAATTTTAGCCAAATAAAATCATATTAAGATTCATATTCAAAATAAAAATATAGTGTTAATTTTAGAATTCAAACATATTTTTGTTTGGGTAATATTGTAATTTTCATCGTAGGCCCCTAGCATGTCCACCTTCAAATTATTTTACTTTTATTTGGATTTGGATAGAAAAAGAAGATTCAAATAAGTTTCGAATTTAAAATTGTAAATGAAAAGTAATTTTAAATTTTTTTTTGGGTGCAGACTTTCTCATGGACAGGGTTAATAAAATAAATTAGGAAAATCAAACCTGGTGGTTGAACAAGGGTTGTGCTTCAAATCTTGTAGGCCAGTTGTAAAAGCTTTTAAGGCTCACCAACTCGGAAAGTCTAAGAGTTGTTAGTTGAGAGAACACGATGATATCATTACTGGTGGTTCCTTTTTCTTTTTCTTTTGGCATAAAACGCCATGAGCTTGGAATGTCTAGTAAACATACACATCCAGTCCATTTTGCCATTCCAAATACACAAGTAAAATAACGGCATGATCATAATATACAACAAAAATAATAATTAATAAAAGGTTATAATAAATTTCAGTTCTCATGAATAACAGTCAATTTCAATTCTCATGACTAATAGTGCTCATGAATAACAGTCAATTAAGTTAGTTCTAGGCAACTCCCTGCGGAATGTCGTTCCTACCCAACTACTAACACTCGCCACAGGCAATTCTGACTCCCCCTTAGTTAATACAATACCAATGCGTTGCTTACTGCATAATCACTAGTGTGTCGCTTACCGCACAATTACCAATGATGCCCACGCACCTAGTTTACATACCTGAGTGGTGACATCACGGTTTGTCCCAAGAAAACGGGCTTCCAGGGATACTTTCCCTGTGTGAGACCCTCACTGCCACCCTTATATCTCCCAATTCCGTTAAGCAGCCAGAATACCTCCCGTGCCATGTTAGGGTTCGAAAACACACTTGTGCAAGACTTCACCAAAATGGAATACATTCCACTATATTGTAATTTTGAATCCGTCATTCATTATTCCATAAAATTTAGTACAATGATCGCAATCCATTACCACCCTATTTGATTTCCATTTTATTAAGTGCAATATGTTCTCGGTTATAGCAAAGCATGGTCAAGATAATTACAAAGCCAAACTAAACATAAAGTAATTTATGCATGGTAAAAAAAATTTACAATTTATCATAGTTTACATATCAAGACTTAAACATTCAAGAAACATAGCACATAAGAGTTGCAAGCCAATTAATAGTACATTAACACAAATTTTCAGATTTTCAGATTTGAACTAGTTGGGAAATAATTATGGAAAAATACTTTTATTAGCCCAAAAGTAGGATAGGTATTTTAGATTTTAAGATAATGCAGAATTAAAAAGATCTATTCAGATTCATTGACTGTTACACAAATCGATTTGTCTCTCAAACCTCTCACTCTCTTGAGTTCAAACAAATTTTAATTGGAATATAACACCTAGATTAAGATTTTGACATAAAAGTGGACTCAAGATTATATTTCTGGAATTTTCTAAAAATAAAGAAAGTTGACTGTTTTTTCTGGTTCTGTGAGTAACAAACTTAGAAAAATTGTTTAGGTTATAAAAATACGTCCTTAGGTCCTACCAAAATTATCACATACTCTAGACATACCAAATATTACACCATAAAAACAGATTTTGAGTTTATGGAGTTTTGATAGGAAAATAAATTCAAGAGAGGGAAAAGATTTTCCGCTGGAAATTTAAGAAAAAAAGAGAAGCATACCATTTCTTGATTAATACACATTTTTACAAGAGTGTAGGCCTAGACTACAACATATATATATATATAGAGAGAGAACATGTATTAGGAGGGAAAAAACAAGTGGTAAAAGAACTTGAGAGAAGAGGTGATGTATGTTTACCTTTGTTATACAAGCCTTAACAAAATTCTTCTTTTTCTTCTTCTCCTCTTTCTCTCTCTCTCCCTGTCATGACCCAAACTCGCTCCTATAGGTTTAGCACCGTAACCGGCTAGTAATCCGTGGATTACCAAAGGCCTCTGAATAGATTATCAAGTGATAATGGGCTGCAAAAGCAATAATACAAAATAGACAAGGTCCAATGAGCTGTGACAACGTACATGGGACAGAACATTTTAAAACTTATTTATATATACGTAAACATGCCAGTCAAGGACACCAATATATACAAAATAATTACAGAAGTGAACTTCCCAAGATTTGACTATATAGTGCAAACTCTAAGACTAGCATGAAATACAAAAACAGCCATGGCATTAAATTTCGATCGGAACCTCCCCGGGAGGCACAAAGGTTGGTTGACAAAACAGTACAGAAGGCCGTCAACTCTGGCCCTGGTCATGTGCCGGCTCACCTACATATATAATATAAACTGTGAGCGAAAGCCCAGTGAATAATAATAGAGTAAAGGGGTTATATGAATGATGTCCGACATAAGTTAGAATCCATCATTTAAATCAGAGCATAATCAGACTTCAAAATAGGAACAGATTCATATACATTTTCATATTCAGATTTTGCATAAGATCATACGTGGTACACCCATTAGCTATCAAATCAGATTGGTCCAGAGACCCACATATATAGTTGGTACCAACGACCACAAAGGTCCATATCTTGTGCGCAAGTAGCCATGGTATTGTTACCCCCAGGCAAGGGCTACGTACAGATTGGCTGCGATATTGTTACCCCCGGGCGAGGTCTACATGCAGATTGGCCGCGGTATTGTTACCCCAGGCGAGGGCCACGTGAACTAAGAGTGCCACAAATATTTTTCAGAAAATTGGACATTCATTCATCAGTAGTAAGATAGCATTTCAGAAGACAGATTATACCATACCAGTCAGAAAATACTTAGGTTAAACATAACTTTACAGAGTTATTACTCACAGTGGGCCTTGAGTCAGACAAATGGAGTAAACTTGGTCAAACGGTACGTGGCACGTGACCTACACAATACATAACAGATGCACACTTGAAACACACGTTCTAATTGTACAAAACTTATTTCATTGGCCCTTAGTGTGTTTCTAATTTCCTATCCTCATTATGGGGTCTAAAACATGGCCTAGGAATGCCTAGGATGGAATGAGGATGCAAGGATGCCTTGAAAAACATTTTTTAAAACTTCCTAAAAACAGGGGTCTCGCTCGAACGTGGCTTTCTTTGCTCGAGCGAGCTTGTCAAACAGAGGGGTCGCTCGAGCATAGGCTCCTTCGCTCGAGCGGTCTGTAAAAATGCAAAAGTACTGGTTGTTAAAATTTTACGCTCGATGCCCGCTCGATGCTCGCTCGAGCGTGAGGCACAGCTCTTCGCTCGAGCGTAGGTCTTGTCGCTCGAGCGTGCGTCTGCGTGCACCAAAAACCTGAGAGCTTGTAATTTACACTCGAGCCACCATTCCTTCGCTCGAGCATAGCCCTGAACAAACGATGGTCGCTCGAGCGTGGAATCCTTCGCTCGAGCAAGGAAGCCAAATTCTGGAATTTCTAGATTTGCCTCTCAAGCTCAAACCAAGTATTCAACACCTCAAAACTCGACCTCTTGGGCCTATTTTCTGGAAAACACTTGTAAACTCATAGTATAAGGTGTTTCAAAGATCAATTTGTAAAATCAAAGCCTAAGGGTGAGTCAATTGAACACAATTTCAAATAAAATCTCAAGAACAAAACTTGAATGTAACATGCAAGAATCTCCTTGAAACCAAACCCTCCAAAACATTATCAAACTTGATAATTTGATGGACAACAAGATAAATGGCCACAATGTGAGTGAAATTAATACATGCATGGAAGAAACTTAGAATTCAAACTCAAAACATGGAAATGTATACATGCATGCATGAATTACTACTCAATTCAACATTTAAACCAATTCTTGACTTTAATCTTCAATTTTACCATGGATCATGCAAGGTATAACTTAAATGCACAAACAAGAAGGTGATTTTCCTACCTTGGGTCTAGAATTCAAAGTCTAGGAGCTCAAATTTGCCAAGCCTCTTTAATTCTCCTATGTTCCAAGCCCAATCTCTAGATGAATTCAAGTTTCTCTCACTCTCCCTCTATCCCACAGTTTGGACAAGAAAAATGGCTATGGAGAGATGTTTCTAAGTGTAATGAAGTTGGTCTCAAATAAGTCACTAAGTGGCATTTGTGTAATAACCCAAACAAGTATAAATTAACATGATTTAATCTAATTTAATTGCTCCGAACCGAATTTTAGTTAAACCTACCATAAAATTTTATAAATCCTAACTAGCACATAAATCAAGTCAATTTCTGATTCGAACACCGATAAGGCTTCCACTTCGCAATTTCAAGTCAAAACCTGAACAGATCAGTTTATGGCAAACAGATAAACACACATAAATAATGCAATACACATGTAAATAAATCCTAAATCCTTCCTAAATTACTGTTAAGCATAATTAACCATGAATTAGCATTCATCGGAGGTCGGGGTCATTACACTCCCTCTCTCTTTTTTTTTTCCAAGATCAATCTCTCTCACTCCTCTAGTGCATGGCTGAAAATGTGTAAAATGAGGGGAAGAAGTGTGCATATATAGAGAAAGCTTTGGAAGGTTTCTTAGGGACCAAGTTCCATATGTGTAATTAGTCAAAGTTGCCATCAATGCCATCAAGGCCATTTCAAACCTCACATGACTAGCTACTTGGGCTCCAAGAAATATATATATATATATATATATGAGATATTTGTATGAGATATTTGTATTTATAACCATAATATAATAGGCATAAGTACATTAATTATTAAAATATTACAATTACGGGTTGGAATGAAATAAAAAAAAAGTATATAGGGGCCAAGTCTAAATTTATGAAACCTTGATATATGCTATTAATATACTAACATTAGAAAATAGTTAAAATAATAAATTCGGGTCTTGTTAAATTAAAGTGTAAAGAATGGCGAGAAACCGAGCGAAACGGCGTTATCTGGAATTAAGATTTTAGAGTGATTAATATATAATGATAGGGTCTACTAATTAATAATATGGTTTTAAAAGTGATTATTAATCTACTGGGATTGATTAGGGTTTACTCGAATTAATCCGTGATGCTTCCCGATTCGAGGGTTTAAAACACAATTAAGCGAAAATTCAAGGGCTTTATTGAAATAAACTCAAGGTTAGGGATTTAACGATAATTACAAAAATTAGGGTCACTACAGGAGGATAATACCCTGACATAAGCATACTTGAATAATTTGTGTGTGACTAGTATCTATCTCTGCAAATAACAAACAAACAAAAGAAGAAGAAAGAAATAAAGAAAATAAAAGGTTTTCCACCTATTATTACAATTACATATGTTGCAAACTAGCAACAACAATAACATGAACCCTTAGATGTAAATGCCTGAAGACGTCATCCAATAACAAGAATATTACTACACTAACCACAGAATTCTTGACAAGGTAAGATCAATATATCCTAATCCATGAACTTTATGACATGGCCCTGTAGCAATATAGTAGGAGTGCAAATTTCAATATGAAGTTTATGACACAGCTAAACCATATTGGCATATTTTTTGTGATGAAATATGACAAAATTTCTATGGTTGCTAGTGATAAGATATCTGAGCTAAGCATAGATATAGAGCAACAACAGATATAGAGCAGCAGCACAGTCAAGGCTGCAGCCTTAGCCAAAGACACAGCAGCTACAACTCAAGCCACAAATGATAGCTGCAGTATGAAGCCTCCTCAGATCAAGTTATTAGTCTATTAGAACTATAGTTAACTACAAGTAGTTGTGGTTAGGTTAGGAAGTTAGTGGTTATGTTTAAAGCATTGTATCACATGTATATAATACATTAGAACCCTTTGTAATGATCATTAAATGAAATGAATCTCAATTTCTTTAGCTAGCTGCTGGGGTTTAAAGTGATTATCAGTCAAAAGTAACCTTTATTCTCAACAAGTACAATACAATTATGGAAGCCAGCAACCATAAAAATAGCCTCATCACCATAAAACCAAGAAAGAAAAACTTGAAAGAACTATATGGGACAGGAAAGAAATTAACCTGGAAGCAAGGTAAGCCTTTGATGTCATCTTTAGTGACAAATAGCCACTTAGAAAAGGAAAAATATAAAAAAATAGAAAAAGAACGTAGAAAAGAAAGAGATAGAAGTTTAGAGGCATAACCAAATGAAATCGAAGAGGAAGAGAAAAAATGCCATGCTTGACAACGGTTCATCCAAAAACCACACTCAAATCAAACCAATTCCATTGTTCCACAGTCGGTCATTAACCAAGACAAAACTAACATTGAACCCTACTACTATTGGCCAAAACAATTGAGGACTTGTGTAAATCTCATTTCACGTCCAATATCCATTATGAAGATGCTAGACAACCCCAAAGAAGAACAAAAAGAGTAAAAAATAAATTTTCCCACTTGATGTAGAATCTATTTAAGACTTAACTCCAACAAGACAAAATTCCTAAACAAACGAATCAAATTGTAACTTAAAAAAATTACAACCCAACTCAAGATAGACCTCTTAGAATATAATGACTTTAACTAGAAAACCCATTATAAGCAAACAGAAACTTTTATGAGTATATAAATCCAATAAAAATTAAATTAATCAATTTGCTTCCACCACCATAAAGTTTCTAAACAAAAGCACTGAAAATCCCAGAAAAGGCGTCTGATCCAGTCAAAGAGTTGAACTTTCAAAATATAAAGACTAACGAATTATAATAAATTCAAGCTGATAAGACCAATTAAACTCCAATAACATCTGCCGTGATAAAATAAATAAAAAATAAAAACACAAAGCAAAACCAAAAAAAAAGAAAAACAAACTAACTCCACCACCAAACATTGCACTAATACATCCAGATTAGCAAAAACATCAAAGTGGTTATTCAGAAAGAAAAAGGGACAGTGTAACTTACAAGCTACTTATCACGAGAATAGAGGACTGTATTTAACATATTCTCAAACAATAAAAATATCCTATCCACTCTGAAATAATGATATCCACTTGAGCAACTGGAACTTCAATTTCCTCAACTTTTCCATTCAAAACTGTGATAACTATAGTAATTAAAATGAGAAAATACAAAAAGGCCAAATCAGTTAAGAAGTAAAAGCAAAAACTGAAAAAAAAAATTATGAAATTCATTATTCCTAGTGACATCACCATCTGAAAAGCCGTTTACTTTACAATCTCTTGTGCCATGTTTTGCCCCTGCTTTTGTACCAAAGAGTGACAAAATTCCAGTACCGGCAGCTACATCAAGGACCATTTTGTCCTTGAACAAGAAATTATTTTTATAAATAACATTTTGGTATGTCTTAGTTCTCATTGCATCCTTCAACATTTCCAGCAATGCCAAAAAATCAATAAGAGTAAAACATTGAATCTTGAACAAAACAATAAGTAGAAGCTAAATATATGCCAAACCTAGATTCATAGTCAGGGGAAAAAATAATTACCACTAATAAAGTGATCAAAGGTGACAAAAAGATATTCAAAAACACAAAAGAAAAGGAGGGGGAGCAAGCAAGTGATAGATGGTGTGAGCTTTACAATTCTAGCAATGATTGCAATTGTATCAATCTTAGCCACCAAAATATGTAGTTACGCCAGTGTAAAATGTGTTAAAGGTAAACAAAGAAACTACTTCCAAACACCTAAGTCAAAGAAAGGAACTAAGAATTTTAAGTAGGATCACACCCCTATATCTCACAGAAAGCTAAATTCAGAATCCAAACAAAGGTCTACCCACCATACATATAAATTAACAAAGTTCTACAATCAAAATCAACTGATTAAAAAAAAATGAACACAAACCCTAGAAGACAAATTGACAATCAAACAAGAAACAAAGTGAGACCAATAATGTCAAATTTTACACAGAGAAAAAATGCATAACCTGTTCAACATCATCACGGTCGAAATCGTCACGAGATTGACTACCATAAATGCCAGCACTTTCAGCATCAACATTGTTCTTCCCAAATCTAAACCAACATGTGGCTCTCGAACCACTACTATTGGATCCTATTTTAGAAGGTTCGAGCCATTCAAGTATCTTTCGAATACCCAGAAACTGAACTAGTTTTGAGTGAGTATGGAGCTGAACGATATGAAGAAGAGGAAGAATTGTGGGGTTATGAAGCGAAGATTGGTTGGAGATATAGGCAAAGAGAGACAGAGAGAGACAAACAGAAAAAACCTGATTCAAAACCAATGGGCTTGAGATGGTCTACTAATCATGGCGATGAGACGGTGAGAGACGGTAAGTGACGGTGGCTGATGGTTAGTCAATGAGAGGAGACCGATGGACAGTCGACGAGAGTGAGAGCAAGAGACTTGAGTGTTGATTGGTATTTCCTTTGGTGTATGTATCATTCGATACATACAAAGAAACAATAATAAAAAATTATAAAATTAAACATAAAATAAAATTAGGTGGTAAATATTTCTCCTAAAATCTAAATGTTCCTATCTCCATAAGGTTTAAGTAAATTTCAATGCTCAAACGAAATATAAGGGATAAAAAAAAATTTAACAAACACCAAGCAAACCATCCATCATAAATTCATGACTATCCAATACCTCCAACATTAAGGTAGCACAAATAGTCAAAACAACTTAAATAATGTAAAATTATAAAATAACCCATAACGTCGAATTGTCAAAATACTAAGGTCAAAATAAATAAATAATTAAACTAATATCAACCATAAACTCAATAAAACACAAGAAATATGAGAGACATGTCCTACAACCGTAGTTATTTCTTATCTCCATCGTAGTCCCTACTAATCTTGCAAAAGAAGTTTGACTGTGCTCGAACAGAACGCACCCGAGATGCCAAGAGACAAAAGTCAGCCCTACATAAAAAGTTAGTAAGACCCACCATCCTGCAAAAAATAAAGTTAGTATAATTTAATCATAAGTAACTTGTTAAAGAAGTATAAAAATGTACCGTTTCATATTTAAATAATTCGAATTGACCAAAACTCAAAGAACAAAAGTTGTATAGGATCAAATTTACTAAAAGGCAATATGAACGAATTTAGTAGAAACTGAACAGGTTGAGAAAAAAACTTAATAGAAAATCCTAAACAAAATTCAATTGAAAAATTTGAAATTGAAAACAGAAAGAAACTATCCTAAGATGATTTTTTTGAAAAAAATTCTGAACACGAAAAGTGTGCATAATAATGTTTTACTTTAGTTTACGTGAAACAAGTAAAAATAAGCTCGTTTTGTGGGTTAAAACAGCATCTAAAGTCTGCATTTCTAAAATGAATAAAAAATATTGTAACCAAGATCATCCAATTACAAGTTCTAATCAATTTTTTTAATAAAAAATTAAAATTGTCTAGAATCACGTATACATACATCTGCTCAAATTTCATAATTTATTGAGGTTGATTACTATTTGTTTCAAGATGTACAAATCAATATAATTCAAACTATACATATAAGTTCATATTTAATTTTTTGTACCTTAACTCCACCACTTTGGCCCTTCACTTCCGGCCTAAACATATATTCCATGTGCCTTCCATATACCTAACATCGCTCTGAAGCTAAACTTGCACGGGGATATTGTCCCGAGTTTGAACCACATTCTCCAGATGGTTAGCATATATATACGCACGTAAATCAAAACACTTGTCTACTAATGAGAAATGCAACAAATATATATATATATATATACACAATCTCTCATCTACTTATGACAACAAACATAATAACGTCAAGTCTAAGGCATTTAAATAAATCTCATAATCCTCACTTTTTTTCTATACACTATTTCTCACCAATACTCAAATAAAACAACAATCAATGGAGTCATGGTGGAGTGTAAGGAATTTATCTATGGATTCCAAGTTTATTTTAATTTCATATATCCATGAGTGTGATTACAACTATAAAATAAATACATATAAAAACCCTAAACCTTTCATACACAACTAATCAAAATAATTAAAAACTATCCATCATCTTCATACAAATGCAATATGTAGACACCCCATTTTTGACCGACCTCAAGGCTTTGATGTCATCGGTTGTGCACTCGATGATTGCGCATGTTTGTGCTTGTTTTGAGTGCTTGAAGTTCTCGGCTGAGTGCCTTGTCTTTGAGCTTCTTAACACTCTGTGTTTTGGCCTTGTTTTCGGGCCAAACCTTGATGCCTCTTGCCTAGAGGAGGGAGAGGCTTTGCCGGCCACTTGTGGCACTTGCCGCCACTTTTCTCCCTTGTAGGCCACTTGAAGTGGCCGGTCGGCTAGGAGAGGTGGCCAGAGGCCAATTTTTTCTTTTTTTAGATATTTTTAGATCTTTTGACCCAGCTGTTGCTCACTGAGACTCATCCTCCATACACGTGTATGAAGGGATGGAAACAAGCTTTTGCTTGCTTTGTCTATATAAGGGGAGGTCCCTCCCCCTTTAGAGGGGTTCACAAAAATTTCAGAGCTGAAATTCCTCTCTCTCTAGAATTCTTCTCTCTCTCTCTCTCTCTCTCTATATATATATATATATTGTGCTATATTGTACTTAAATGTGTGTTTTCTTTACATTTTTGCACTACAACACCTAGTCAAACACCTTCACTTTGGAGTTGAGGTCCATTGAAGCTTGGTTTGAGGTCTTAGGCTTCATTTTGGTTTAGAATTGTTGCTGAATTATTGTTGTGCTTTAAGGGTAACAACTTGTCCCTCTTAAGCTTTGTTTTGTTTAAGTACTTGACCACCTTTGCATGCTATTTTAAGGCTGCTTTTAACTTCTTAAAAACTCTGATTTTAAGGCTTTTAAATGTGGGTTTGAGTCTTGCTTGGTTAGGGGGTGTTTCCCCTCTTTTGATCTTTGGCTTGTAAAGCTTCTTGAGCCACCTTTCTTAGCCTTTGTAATAACCTTTGTTTGGCCTTTCTACCACTGAAACTTAAAGGAATTTCAGTGGTAGAAAGTTGTCCTTGAGGCCCAAAATGGGAGGGGGTGGTCCCTTATCCTCATGTCTTGTTTGCATGTGTTGATGGCCTACCAAGTGAGCATGTGTTTCTCCCTTTTTGAAGCTTAGTTCAAGCATGTTTTTGTGACTTTTTGGACCTGCTCTAACTTTATTTTTGGCTGGTTGGAGCTCCTCTTGTTTGCTTCTTACACTTGTCATGCAATCATACTCACTAGCTTAGTGTACTTGATGTTGTAGCCTATTATTCTAGCATGTGTTGACTCCATTCCAACATGTTTTTGGCCTTGCTATGACATATTTAAGCTCTTTTTTGAGTGGTCTTGGTCCCTTGAGACTTGCTTTGTATAGTTGTAGTGCAAATGGTCTTGACTAGCTTTGAGTCTTGAGGTCTTTAACACGTTGTGTATGTGATGATTACATGTTTTGGCATCATTTAGCATGTAACTTCAGTGTATATAGTGTATTCACACTCTCACATATTTCACTCTTCCATAGCTTTTGAGAGTTGTGCTTATGCCTTGTTTATGAGCCAATACATGAGCATGATTTTCTTGCTTTTCATGCTATCATCTTGACACATTTTAGCCTCTGTTTTGTCATATTTGAGGTCTGTCCAGAGTTGGTTTGGTCCCTTGGAGTTTGATATTGCATGCTTCTAAAGTGATGCTCTTCACTAGCTTAATGTATTTGGCTTTTTGAGCATGCATTACATGAGTTGTTTGCATTGTTTTTTAGTCACTTAGCATGCTATCTCAGTGCTGAAATGTGTGTCATTTCACTCCATTGTTTTAAACTTTCATTCACCTTGAAAGTGGACTTAAGCCCTTTGTTGGATTAAGCATGAACTTGAGGCATTCATGTCTAATGGTTTTAATCTTCTTTCAAGGATTTCTACTAACCAACAGCATGATTCTTTCTTCATGCTCAAGGCACTCGAAGCTTAGGTCGTCTTTCAAATTAGAGGACTTTGGACATTGAACTTAATCGGTTAATGGACTAATTGGTAAGCTAAAATGAGTAAACAAGAATTGAGCACAGTAAAACATGCCAAGATAACATATGTGTGTTGCATTGCATGCGTTTGGATCGGACGTTAATCCAAACACAAGAAATGTGGCACGTTTCATACTTAAAGTGATGAAACGTGTCGCGTTTCTTGGTCGTTGTCACCCTTGATCATGCATGATAGGGTGACAACACTTTGAGTCTTATGTACGCATTCACTAAAGCTTGTACAAGCTTGATTCTTGGGCCATCATGCGTTGAGATGCTTGGTTAGTGGCTTGAGAGCCAAGTACCACACTCCTTTGAGCTTGAGACATGATGGGGAGGGTGGTAGTGCACACATTTCTTGCCAAATACATTGTCTTGGCTCTGTTGCTTTTTGTTGCAGCAAAGGCAGAATTCTGGAAAGAAAAGTGGCCGGCCGGCCACTTGCACTAGCCTACCGACCACTTGTACTAGCCGGCCGGCCAGTTGAGGTAGCCTACTGACTAGTTGAGGTGGCCGGCCGGCCACCTGCAGGAGAAATTATCCAAAATGTTCCTATGTAGGGGGCAGATGCAACCTGGAAGTTCATATGATGTTCTGAGATCACCGCGAGTGCAAACAGAGGCAACTCATGGTAAGGCAATGCATTTTCAGGTGAAGTAAACCGAGCATGCATGTCTCCCTCCCCTCGAGGCCATTTTTACTGCTTTACTTAGCTAGTAAATTTACCGATTTTGTAATTAATTAGTTAATGTGCTTAGCTAATTTAATTCATCTCTGTAATATTCTAATTAGCTTAGCATAGCTAGTTTCAATTCGATTTGTAATAATTAATTAGCTAAGTTAGTTAATTAGCTGGTTTGTAATAATTAGCTTAGCTTAGTGTAGCTTAGCTATTTATTCAAACCCTCCTTCGCGAGGGCATAATGTTGTAATAAGGGTGCGGGTGCGTGTGCGTGTGCGTGTGCATGTCTTCCAACCCCACTTCTTTCTCTCTTTTACTTACCGCTTTCGATGGTTACTTTTAAGGCATGTTTTGATTAGCATACTTTATGTTCGCATGTTTGCATCATTCATTTGTATTGCATGCACGAGGCTCGGCGTATCATTCAAACTGCATCGTAATTCAATACCTATTTGAATACGTGTATCAAGTGTTGCATTTATATGCCATTTTAGATAGCCGAGCCTATTTAGTTTCACTTTTGTATGTGTTGCATTAGACATTGTTGCATAGTTAGGATCATGCATATTTCTAACTAGTTTTCTGTTTTGGCTTGGAGTACACTAT